TTCTGTCTAGAGACAGTTCAATGTTCATCACGTGAAATTATCTGAAACTTACAAAGAAAATTCAGAAATTTCAGTTTAGCAAAAACAAAAAAAAATCAGAAATCTCTTAAAAAGGGGTTGGTGCTCTTACGTATATTTTTAGAAATTGTTACGTGTTAACACTATAAATTTTTGTTTCTCTTCTTCATTTGATGAAACTTGCAAAAGTCATCTTTTATAAACTTTCACAAATATATGGAAGTTTACCATATGAATTTTTTGTTCATATTCTTTTACCCCCAAAAAAAAAAATGATCATTTTCTTGAACAAAAAGTATATTTTTCCAATTGAAGAATATAAAAAGGCCCTAAAGAACTGTTTTTGGCCCATTAAGAAATGGTGAATGGGCCCATACATGGTGATCGGAGCAATGGAGGTGTGATACCGAGTAAAAGTACTAAAATGCAGCCATCTTCATCAATGGGGGGTTTTTTTTGACCCAAGCTCTTGCAATCGATTCCTCATGTTCTTCTTCCCTTTCTAGCAATCCTTACAACAGACAGGTTGCAGGATCGTGTCTGCAAAAAGACAGTATAAGAAAATGGCATCTCTTTTCAACAAATTTCAGCAGGTTAATGAATCTCTTACTGCTTCTGTGCTTGATCCTATCTGATTTTCTGAACAAATTTTCCCTCTCTGGTACGACTTTTCAAAACTGGGTGCGAAGAAAGTTTGAGTCTTTGTTTGATTTAGTCTTACAATTCGAACCAATTCGTTTCAAGTGTTCTCATGCTGTGTAGTCTGTGGCATTGGAAGAAATAGATTAGAACAATGAAATTAGGTTGAAGGGTAATCGTAAAGTTTCATTCTTTGTTGTTAAATCTCTTGTGAAGTTGCTCATTTTGACCAATTTACTCGTCCTGAGGATTCATGGGATCATTTTAGAATTTAGGGATTTGCAGGGTTTTAGTATGATTGAGATTGAGATTGGGATTTCGAATTATCTTCCATGTTGCTATTGTTCTTTCTTCTTTTCTTCACTGCTCGTTTTAATTTGTGTCATCACTTTTCGTTTTCCAGGCTGTTGGAGTTCTTGCCAAGAGTACCACATTTGCTAAGAACCCTAGGCAACTGCAATTTGAAGCAGACATCAACAAACTGTTTATGTATACAAGGTTGGTTATTTGTCTCTGAAGAGAAAAGTTTGATTTATTTATGGATTTGTGAACTAGCTTGCTTATTATCATTGCGCTACTGCTTTCATCCTACTCAATTGTTCTTGATTTGGTTTTAGTTAGCTCTTAATAGTTCGTTGTGAGCTAGCTCTTGTAAATACATCCACTCTTTGCGCTCATGAAAACCAATTATGTTTAGTTATAATCGGTTGGGACGAGAAGCTGAGGAGACGGATGCAGAAGAGATAATTGAGATGGCTGGTAAAACCTCTTTATCGGAGCAGCAGAAGCAAGTTCAAGAGAACATTCACTACCAAGTTGAAAACTTCTGCTCTTTAATGGATCGAATCCTTCTTCCTGATGTTGACAAAAACGAGTCGGGATCACAATCGACAAGCCCTCCTCGTCGTCAAAGCGGTCTTACTTTCGCCATTGGTAGGAATAATGCTTTTCCAAATGCAGATAAACCTCGTAAGTGTTTTACTTCATACGAGTCATTTTGTGAACTTATACTCAGTATTTTCTTTCATCTTAATTGTTATTCTCACTGATTCTTCTTCAGCACAGTTGTTCCCGAGACAAAGCCTTTGAAGTTCGATGAGGTCTCACAGAGATTAATGGATCAAATGGGCTATACCCTCGAGATCAAACCATCCGTAATACCTCACAAAGACGCTGGTCAAGGATGTTTCATCAAAGGCGAAGCAGATGTTGGAACTGTCTTAGCCTTTTACCCTGGAGTTATTTACTCTCCTGCTTTCTACAGGTACATTCCTGGGTACCCGAAGGTTGATTCACAGAACTCATATCTCATCACAAGGTACGATGGAACTGTGATAAATGCTCAGCCTTGGGGTCTCGGGGGAGAATCTAGGGAAGTATGGACTGGTTCCTACACACCTCCGGTCATAGCAAACACCAAAACCGCAGAAAACGGTTCAGACAGGTTATGGAAAGTGTTGAGCAAGCCACTCCAAGGTTCAGGTAAAGCAAAAGAGATTCTTGAGAGGAGAAATCCATTGGCTTTTGGTCACTTAGCTAACCACCCGGCAAAAGAAATGATTCCAAACGTTATGATATGTCCCTATGACTTCCCCTTGATGGAGAAAGATATGCGGCCTTATATTCCAAATGTATCTTTTGGGGATTCTGGAGAAGTGAAGATGAAGAGATTTGGAACCTTCTGGTTTAAGACAGGAAGTAATAATGAGTTAGATGCTCCGGTTCTGAAGACACTGGTTTTGGTAGCGACGAGGGCATTGTGTGATGAGGAACTACTGCTGAATTACAGGCTGAGCAACTCTAAGAGACGACTGGATTGGTATACCCCAGTTAATGAAGAGGAGGATCGGAGAAGATGGAGCTAAATTGCTCCAGTTTACTTATATGTTTCCTTGAAACTTGAATGGCTCTGTTTTTAGATTTGCTCTGTTTTTTTTTTTTTGGACTAGCAGTGCGACGTCCTTTCGCTGAGTATTTGGCTTTTTGGGTTATAATATTATTTTTAGAAGACTTCTTTTTATCTGTTATTTGTTTTCTGTTATTACGTAATAACCAAAAAGAACTAGAAGAAATCTTTGCCATTTCGTTGAGTATTGTAGGGTGATTGGTCTTAAAATTATCGTTATGATAAGCATGCAGTATTTGTCTTATTAAGAAAAGAAATATCTTATCATAAGATGCTTATGTACCTTTGATTTAAATATCGAATGTTACTGTTTTAATACAAATCAGACTTAATCATGTTCTCAAAGTAAGATTGATGATCTAATCAATAGTATAAACATATTTTTTTAAGCATGATAAGCTAATAAGCATTTACTTCATTACAGTTGTCTAAATTCTAAAAGATCGAAAACCTTTTTTCTTTGAGATTTAGAAACCTAATACAAATAGATAAACTCAAATGTATTTGTGTAAATTCGTATATGACAGAATGATATTTTATATAATTATAGATTTAGGAAATTGAATGATATTCTGTTCAAGACTAGTATTGCAATCTATTACTTTTGATAAATGTATTCATATAACATTATATTATACTAGATGAAGGACCCGCATATATGCGGGTTTTGATTTAATATTTTATAAATCTATAAAAAATAAAATATTTAATTGTGGTGAACAAAATTAGATAACCCGTTAACATAAATAAAATCAAAGTAAGAATGTTAAGTAAAACCATTGATCGAGAAAAAAA